TGGCCCATCCCCTGACGAGGCATGAGGCATGACCCTGTCTCTTATACACATCTAGATGTGTATAAGAGACAGGTGTAGGGACGAATGAATGCCACGGTGATAGAAGCCGAGAAAAAAGAGACGCGTGGGGAAAATGCAGGTCGTGTTGAGTATCCTCCGGAAAGATCACAGAGAGGGAGGTTGAAAGGATGGAGAGAGCGAAGGAGGATGTTTGAGAATAAGGGAGAAAGGTGGTGGATTGCTCGAGGGAGTTTACCTGTGCAAGGCCAAAGAGACGCATAAAGCTTACCCGCCAGAATGCCAAACGAAACTCCATCCACCCCAACTTAGGGGGGAGGTGATTACTTGTTGAGCAAACATGAAAACAAATCATCGTGAATAATGACCAACTAACTAACCAATCAAATGCGTATCGTGGGCAATTTGCATCCGTACGCAAACTACTAGTGACATGTTCAAAGATCGCTGCGATCTAAAAAACAGGACTACACGAGGCAAACAGACGCCAAAGGGAAGAAGGAGACACACGGGGGAGGAGCGGCCCAAATGCGACAAACAGGAAGAGCGAGTGAGAGCGAGCGAGCGAGCGAGCGAGCGAGCGAGCGAGAGAGAGAGAGAGAGAGAGAGAGAGAGAGAGAGAGAGAGAGAGAGAGAGAGAGGGAGATAGAGAGGAAAGAGGACGAGGGTTTCCCGAGCAACGAGCTGATCGACCGAATTCACCGATCAACTTCGACTTCTCCTCCTCCTCCTCCTCTTCCTCCTCCTCTTATATAAACGGCGAAGGATGAAGTCGTGCTCAGTGACAAGCCTCTGCTTCGCTTGCCTCAGCAAATCGCGGATCGTATCAATGTGCAAAATTACATTGTGCGAGAGATAAATCTGCGCCGCACGACGTGAGTCATGCCTCCACATCCAGCCAGGATTCGTCATGATAGGATTCCACTCCCTTTGCAACACGGGTCGTCTCAACCAGGAAGAAGAAGACGACGCCCGCGACGAGGAGGAAGAAGGGGAAGGAGAGGAAGGGGGAGGAGAAGAGGCAGAAGAAGAAGATGATGATGAAGAAGAAGAAGAAGAAGAAGAGTTAAACTTCCACTTCAACGTGGTGTCGTTGCTTGTGGCTACGTACTCTAAGTACTTCAAGTGATTTAGAGCCGCTGCCTTGTAGTTCCACTTCATGGCATCGCAGCCAAAGGGGACGATCTGCATGAGGAGAGAATTAGGTCTCAAGAAGAGAGCATGAACAAGCTCGGGGGAGCTGATTCCCGCCAGAACGTCCAAGTCTTGCATCTTCTTGAAGAGTTCGTTGACAGGAAGATGGTTATCTACGACGATGATCTCGGGAAGGAACCCATAACGTCGGGCTTCGGTCAAGAAAACCTTCTCGCCGTCCATATTGATCAACGGGGCAGAAGAAGCAGAAGCGGAAGTGGCAAGAGCAGCAAGAGTTGTGGAAAAGGAAGTCGAAGAAGTGCCAGAAGAGGAGGAGGAGGAGACAATGGCGTGGGCACCGGCGGTTTCCCCAACGTCATACTCCTCCCTCTCCACATGGAGACCAAATCTCGAGCTCCTGATTAGTCCTAGTCGCAAAGCGGAAGATCTGCGGTCGTTCCACCTGCGCGAAAGAACCCTCTCCCCAAGCGCCGCCCCCCACTTCCTCCTCAGATCCTCCAGCGACGGCTTCTTCCCCTCCCTTCCCCCCACCCAGTCCGCTCGCACGAATAACGACCCATGCGTCATCACCCCTAGCACTGCGCGCCGAAAACACAACGTCGTCCCCGTCCTGTCCGTGCTCCTGATCACGACCGCCGAGGATGATGATGAAGATGACGACGAAGAAGTGCTCAACCTTCTCGACCGCGACGTTAAGTATGAAGCTGAGGAGGAAGAGGAAGAGGAAGAGGACAAGGAGGAGGAGGAGGAGGAGGAGAGAAGCACTCGCGTGGACTCAGGTAAACGAGTAGATTTTGCCTTTCCATACTGCTTCAGTCCCCTGACACCTTCAGATTGACCAATACTTTGCCGTTCTACTACCTTCCTCCTGCTGCTGCGCCCCGTGGCAGCAGATCCTGTCCGCTGCGGTTGTTGGCCCGGCCGTTCAGATTCTGCGTCCGATTTGATGTACCAGGTAATCCTCCGCTTCGTTATGGCGCCCAGCAGCTTTGAGTACCGATCAACGAACACTTGATTGGCATTGACGAGAACAAGATCCACGTGTCCATCCAATTGGTACATTTCCGTGGTCAGATAGAGAGGAATGATGACATCACTAAAATCTCTGTAGTAGTTTCCCGACCCTATGCCATCAGGTAGAGGGACGACGAGCGCAGTCACCTCCACATTGGAAGATCTTGACGATTCTACTCGACTACCCTCTTGTCGGCCACCAGACCTCCTCCTGCAGGGATCGGAGTAGGAGCCCTTCTTCCACACCCTTTCCTCTCCTCCTCCTCCTCCTCCTCCTCCAGCGTGTTTGCCCACTACCACGACCTCCAGACCTCGTCTTCCATCGCTACTCCCCCTCCCCACCCCCTGCGACGATCGCCTGTCCACTGACCCCTCGCCAGCACCTTCGGCCCAAGACGACGTACCCCAGTTTCCATCACTCCATCCACTCACCTTACTACTGCTATTTAATGACCTGATAAATACGCTACTACCTCCCCCACCCTCCCTATCTTGATCACCACCCTCCCCCCTCACTATCACAAGCTGCCGCGCCAAGTCCACCTGCACAGTTCCCACCGCTGCGCAAATTTCATAGCGCCAATTATGCACACATGCGAGTGGTCGTCTTCCTTTCTTCCCTCCTCCTACTCCCTTCCCCTTTCTTTCTCCTCCTCCTCCCCCCCCTTCCCCTCCTCCTCCTCCTGCCCTTGATTCTACCCCTAACGGAGGAAACGGTAGTTCCAAGAGGCCCCCTCCCCCACCCTGCTGCGCTTTCCCCAACCCATCCCCTTCCTCGCTATGGCCCACGAATAAGCCGATTGCCACGTCACTGCCCTTCCCTGTACCGTGTAGCAGACCATCATTCTCCATTTGCCCCTGCTGTTCCAACTCTCTTCCAAAATTGTCCTTTTCATGGAGCTGTTGATGTCCCTGCGCCCCCCCCTCCTGCTGCCGATACGCCTCTTCTCCTTCCCCATCTTCAGAAATCAAAATGCCACGTGTCGTTCTCAGACGTCCAGTCAGCCCCGGCGCGAGCCGCACTCCGCGCTCCTCCAGGTAACCGTTTCGTCCAGGCGATCGAGAACATATGTACGTCACCAGCAGCACGACCCAGAAAACGATAAACAGAAGGGGGCAGATTCGCGTTGCCATGTCTGACTCTCTGTGTCATCACGTATGATTGAATGGTTGATCGATTGATGAAGTGATTAATTGATTGATTGTTTGATCGATCGACTGATTGGTTGCATGATTAGCCCGACAACGCGTATACTCACTTTCACGCCGGTCCAAAGAAATCTTCATTGCAGAAGCGGTTTCAGATCTCTATTAATCTCCGTGATGAAAGTCAATGGCTCGACCCACATCCGTACTTCCTCTGTCTCTCCTGCACACTCCTACTGCCACGGTAGACAGAGCTCACTTCCTGCTCACATGAATCTGCATCACCGCACACCCGCCGCTTGCAACCCCATGCGTCCTTCATTACCTCCCACGTAAAAAAAATGGAATTTAAAAAGAATTGGAAAGTGGGACGTCGGTCCACTGACGGTACACTATGGGACAGTCATTAGAAATAGCGTGGAAAATCGACTGTATGGGCCTCGCTCCACTACTCTCGAAATGTGCAAAACGAGAGTGAATCTTCCGCTAGAACATAGGAAAATACACCGTAATGATTTTTGTCTTTTGTGCATGTCGAGAGTAGTGGAGCGAGGCCCTATAGCTCCCAGCCTGCACAAGGCGTTTCGTGGAAGGCCCTCGTAGGAACCCACCCACCGACCCTCCGCCTTTTCGGACAGCGATCTGGATTCTGGATTCTGGGCGGACAAAATGATATCGAGGCCATGGGCCTTGCCACACCACTGTCGAATCTCGAAAATATTGGAGAGCTGTCAGGATTTTTCGAGAGGCCGGTTTTCGAGAGAAAATGGCCCTTCGCCACACAGCACACTAGACCGGCCTCTCGAAATGGTCGAACTCGAGTGCGGACAGGCGGTATCACGAGAAAACGGCCTGACAACTCTCGAAATGGACGTCGAACTCGAGCGCGTACGGGAGGTATCACGAAAACTCCCAAGGCTGCAGGCTGGGCGAAAACATCTTTTCGAGAAGGCACTCGAAAATGCCTTGCTGACAGCTCTCGAACATTTTCGAGTTTTTTTTTCGAGAGACGCTGTGTGGCGGTGCCCGACTCAATAATTTTCGAGATTCGAGAGTGGTGTGGCGAGGCCCCATGTCTTGGAGTGCTGTGATGGTGTCTCGAAGTGAACTCACGAATTGGGGACGCTGACCAGATTTCCAGCAGGTGCTGCTCCCCACCAATAGATGGAGCCTTCGCGGCAGGGGTCACTTGATGAGGAAGCTCTTATCACCTCGTCAAGTGGACTGCCTGCCCTTGAAGTTTGAAAAAAATTGGAAAAAAAAAAAAACGAATTGGGGAGTTGGAGAGATGCCCCAGTCCTTTTTTATTTTTTTTTATTTTTTTGGGAATAGAGATGCCCTGTGTTCCCAGCCCGTCAGGGTTGCGTTTTCCCCCCCTGAGACTTTTTTTTTTTTTTTTTTTTTTTTAATCCTTCCGCAGGTAGCTGAGACATTTCAACTACCTGGGACCATGTCCCATATGCACCGTTTAGTTGAGGCAGCTCAACGGTGCGACAGCTAAAAAAATTCATTTTAATTCAATTTCAAATGAGAAATGCATTTATAAATGGCAGGAATACAATTGTTCTCGTTTTTCATTTTTCACAATTGGAGTGGCATACGGGCGCTTCCACAGCAGAAAATGAAGAGTTGCCCGAATCCCCTCCAAAAATGGCAAGCGGAAGGAG